TTCTCCCTGTATGTGCCTGTATGTCCCCCAGAGTCTCGCCTGGAACTGGAGTTCAGAGCAAGTGAGAGCTTGTATCTCCCTCCCAATTAAAAGAGCAGCACTTACAGGTGCCAGCACTTTCCTTGCCTCTGCACCTCTTACCAGTGAGCTTTCTTCACCTCTTTAGTTGTGGAACATCCACTCAGCCAGCTTTCCTGCCATTCTGGGTGGTAGTTGTTCTGCCGTTTAGTTGTTATTTTGATGTGGTTGTGAGAGGCAGCAAGTATAGGTGTTCACCTATGCTGCCATCTTGGTTCTCTAACATTATATTTTTAATCAACTTATTCCAGTTACCTGTAGTTGGATAACAAACCACTCCAAACTCAGTGATTTAAAACAGCAATTTGTTGTTACTCTCATGGTTCCATGGGTTGACTGGGTTCACCTGAGACATTCTCATTTGGGGTTTCTCATGGGGTCACATGGTTGGGGCTCAAGGCTTGTCTGTGCTGGACACCAAGATAGCTCACCCATGTGGCCTGCAGTCAATGTTGGCTTTTACCAGGGTCTCAGCAAAGGTTCATTCAGACCACCTGTACGTGGCCTCTACATGGGGCTGGGGCTTCTTTCAGTGAGGTGGCTGAGTTCTGGGTGGGTTAGAGACCTGGGCAGAAGCTGCAAGACTTCTTACAATCTAGCCTTAGAAATAACTTATCAGTAGCATCACTCCCACCCTGTCCTTTTGGCTAAAAGTCACAGGGCTGTTCTAGATTTACTAGTAAGAGGAGGATGATACTAAAGGATGTAAATATTGGAGGCATGTTCTCTGGTGGAGGGGGGACACCTTTGAAAACTTGCTACCATGCAACTTATATAGATACTAGTGGCCTGGTGCACAAAATCCCTGCACAATAAAAGGGAAAATTAGAGGAAATATTTTAATATTGCTATTTGCCCTTTCTCTATAATAGAAGTGTCAGAGATGAAAGAAAATTAGTAAAATGTATATGAAAATTTCCCTCCTGTCAGAGTCTGGGGCAGACCCAGAGTCAAGTCCCTGTCCCCCTTCGAACCTGGGACCCTTCAGTCCGCAGGCCGACGCTCTATCCACCGAGCCAAACCGGTTTCGGCCTATTACCTCTTTATTATATAGGATGGGCACAGAGTTTAAAAGCTAATTTAAAATCATCTACATAGAGGCAAATTTTTATTATCCCACAACTGAGATAAAAATGCCTTGAACTTGTACTTCACTTTTTAAAAATATCTTACAATACCTTTTAATACACCTCTGCTTGATGAGACAAATTAAAAATAAATGGCATGACATTTAAGAAGTGGCCAAATGTAGAGGTTCTCAGCTATAAGTTGAGCAGGCAGAAGGAATTCTCGAAAGCTATAAAAACATAAGGAGACACTTTTCAAATGATAAGGCATCATTATAGATTTTTGGGAAACCATGATACCCATTTTGGTATGTAATTAGGAGATGGGTGGTTTGTAAGCAAAAAGGCAGAGTAGATAATGAAAGGCAGCCTTTGTAGTTGAA